TAACTCTTACTCACATTGCATCAAACAGTCAAAGAGTCAATACAGGACTAAGATTGAATCGTACTACACCGGCTCTGATGCTCGTTGGATGTGGCAGGGCTTGAAAACTATTACAGACTACAAAGGGAAGCACAGCCGCAAGTTTATTTTCTTAAACTGCATTGTTGGTTATGGGCTTGTAAGTAAGCATTTCACTGTAATGTCTACACCTGTTGTATTCGGCGCATGTGGCAAATAACATTTGATTTGATTTGAAATGGAGGGACTACAGTGCCTTCAGAAAGTATTCACACCCGCCTCCCGAGTGGCGGAGCTGTCCAAGGCACTGCATTGCAGTGCTTGAGGCGTCACTACAGACCTGGGTTCGATCCCAGGCTGTGTCACAACCGGCCGTGACCGGGAGTCCTGTAGGGCGGCGCACAATTGGCCCGGGTTAGGGGAGGGTTTGGCCGGGAGGCTTTACTTGGCTCATCATGTTCTAGCGATTCCTTGTGGTGGGCTGGGTGCCTGCAGGCTGACTTCAGTTGAACGGTGTTTCCTCCGACACATTGGTGCGGCTGGCTTCCGGGTTAAGCGGGAGGGTGTTAAGAAGCGCAGTTTGGCGGGTCATGTTTCGGAGGACGCATGACTCAACCTTCGCCTCTCCCGAACCCATTGGGAACTTGCAGCTATGAGACAAGATTGAAATTGGGGAGAAAAAGGGGGTAAAAAAAATAATATATGTATTCACACACCTTTACTTTTTCCACATTTTGTTGTGTTACAGCCTGAATTTAAAATGGATTAAATTGAGATTTTTTTTTTGTCACTCGCTACACACAATACCCCATAATGTCAGTGGAATTATGTTTTCAAAATTGTTATAAATTAATAAAAAAAGAAAAGCTAAAATGTCTTGAGTCAATAAGTATTCAACCCCTTTGTTATGGCAAGCCTAAATAAGTACAGGAGTAAAAATGTGCTTAACAAGTCACTGGGTGCAATAATTTTTAATGACTACCTCATCTCTGTACCCCACACATATAATTATCTGTAAGGTCCCTCAGTCGAGCAGTGAATTTCAAACACAAATTCAACCACAAAGACCAGGGAGCTTTTCCAATGCCTCGCAAAGAAGTACACCTATTGGTAGATGGATAAAAGTTTTAAAAAAAAGCAGAAATTGAATATCACTTTGAGCATGGTGAAGTTATTAGTGACACTTTGATCAATACACCCTAGTGCATCAGTACACCCAGTCACTACAAAGATACAGGCGTCCTTCCAAACTCAGTTGCCAGACAGGAAGGAAAACACTCAGGGATTTCACCATGAGGCCAATGATGACTTAAAAACAGTTACATAGTTTAATGGCTGTGATAGGAGAAAACGGATGGATTAACAACATTGTAGTTACTCCAGAAAAAGAAGCCTGTACAGAATACAAATATTCCACAACATGCATCGTGTTTGTAACAAGGTACTAAAGTAAAACTGCAAACAATTTGGCAAAGAAATAAACTTTATGTCCTGAATACAAAGCGTTATGTTTGGGGCAAATCCAACAACACATCACTGAGTACCACTCTTCATATTTTCAAGCATGGCTGTATCATGTTATGGGTATGCTTGTCATTGGCAAGGACTAGGCAGTTTTGTTAGGATAAAAATGAACTGAATAAAGCTGGGCACAGGCAAAATCCTAGAGGAAAACCTGGTTGTCTGCTTTCCAACAGACACTAGGAGTCAAATTCACCTTTCAGCAGGACAATAACCTAAAACACAAAGCCAAATATACACTAGAGTTGCTTACCAAGACGATATTGAATGTTCCTGAGTGGCCTAGTTACAGTTTTTATTTAAATCTCCTACAAAATCTATGGCAAGATTTGAAAATGGCTGTCTAGCAATGATCAACAACCAACTTGACAGAGCTTAAAGAATGTTTTAAATAATAAAAAGAATGTGCAAATATTGTACAATCCAGGTGTGCAAAGCTCTGAGACTTACCAAGAAAGAGTCACAGTTGTAATCGCTGCCAAAGGGTATTCTAACATGTTTCGACTCAGGGTGTGAATAATAATGTAAATGAGATACAGTGGGGAAAAAAAGTATTTAGTCAGCCACCAATTGTGCAAGTTCTCCCACTTAAAAAGATGAGAGAGGCCTGTAATTTTCATCATAGGTACACGTCAACTATGACAGACAAATTGAGATTTTTTTTCTCCAGAAAATCACATTGTAGGTTTTTTAATGAATTTATTTGCAAATTATGGTGGAAAATAAGTATTTGGTCACCTACAAACAAGCATTAGATATGTCTACTTCATTTTCAATAAATGTGCCAAATAATTCTAAAAACATGTTTTCACTTTGTCTACCATCACCACCTTGGCCGACCCATCAGGAAGTCCAGGATACAGTTGCAGAGGGAGGTGCTCAGTCCCAGGGACCCCAGATTGGTGATCAGTTTTGAGGGGACTATGGTGTTGAACACTGAGCTGTAGTCTATGAACAGCATTCTAACATAGTTATTTTCCCTCTTGTCCAGGTGGGAGAGGGCAGTGTGAAGTGCAATTGAGATTGCGTCATCTGTTGGGTGTGGTATGCGAATTGGAGTGGGTCCTGGGTGTTTGGGATGATAGTGTTGATGTGTGTCATGACCAGCCTTTCAATACACTTTATAATTACAGATGTGAGTGCTACAGGGCGATAGTGATTTAGGCAGGTTACCTTGGAGTTCTTGGGAACAGGGACAATGGCAGTGGTGTAAAGTACTTACGTAAAGAATAGTTTAAAGTACTACTTAAGTCGTTTTTGGGGTATCTGTACTTTACTATTTATATTTTTACAACTTTTACTTTTACTCCACTACATTCCTAAAGAAAATAATGTACTTTATACTCCAAATACTTTTGTACTTTTACTCAAGTAGGATTTTACTGGGGGACTTTCACTTTTACTTGAGTCATTTTCTATTAAGGTATCTTTACTTTTACTCAAGTATGACAATTGGGTACTTTTTCCACCACTGGACAATGGTGGTCAGTTTAAAACATACTGAGATTACAGACTGCTGTTAATGTGATGTGCCAGGACCATGGACAGTTGTTAGAGGGTGTTGGGTACACCGAGGTATAAAAGAACTGGAGACTGCGTCCAAGGTGTCCGATCGTTTGATTTCAACGTAATCTACTCACGTACGCATACGCCGATTCATGGACTGTCTATATCCGGGTTGCATCCAGTTTACACGGCCCAACTTCACATGCGCACTAGCACTCAGTGTGCACAGGGAGCAGCTCGAGCACCGACAACGTCATCCAAAAACATGGCACACATTGGATGAATATAACATTTTAATGAGTGATAGAGGGGAAAAATGGCCTCTGCGACAATTATTTGAATAATTCAATGGATGTTTTGTGCACAAAGGTGATCGCTAAAGTGTCTTATTAGGAATTTTCTAATCTGACTTCTCTATGTGGCGGTATATCCAAATTCTCTATCTGGGCTGGACGTCAGTTAAACCAGTGGTTCCCAAACTGTGGGGCGCGTCCCAGAGGGTTCGGTACTCAGTCCGGTTTCAAGTAGCTAAGTCCGGCTTTAAACTTACTCTTGAAATTTGTAATAGTAGAAATCACAAGATGCAATTTCGAAATTGGGTATTGCATCGTCAGTTCTTGTCATGTTAGTCATTGCATACCTTAGAGAGCTATACTGAACAAAAATATAAATGCATCATGCAACAATTATAACATTTTTACTGAGTTACAGTTCATATAAGGAAATAAGTAAATTGAAATAAATTCATTAGGCCCTAATCTATGGATTTTACATGACTGGGCAGGGGCGCCTTGGAGGACATAGGCTCACCCACTTGGCATCCAATCAGAATGATATTTTCCCTAAAAATGGGCTTTATTACAGACAGAAATACTCCTCAGCTGGGAGTTTGCAGTGTCTGATACGTGTGAGATTTGTTGATTAACTATATGTTTACTTCCTACAAGTTAGAGACAAATAAAAGAAGAGCCCTTTTAGAGGAAAAAGTATGTATGATGAACTTTTAATGGATGTTTCTTCTTTGTGGATAAGAAAAACCTGCCTTCCTAGAGAAAGAGGAAAATATAGAAAACTCCCTAAATGATAATCAAAGATCGTTCTGTATAAGTGAGTAGTAGTTTGGAAAACTTCAAGTGCTTCACAGATTGTTCCCATCTTAGTGTCACATTGCTGTTGACATGCTGATGGTCAGTTCCGACTTCAAACAAACCGGAATAAAACATCTAAGCAAACTTCCGCTCCAGCTGACTGAGCAACAAGTTGGACTAGTAGTAATTTGCATAATACTGTTCTGTACTAAACCCAGCATTATCGAAAAAGGTTTCAACAAAGTGCAAACATAATTTATTGATGAGCGACATCTCATACCAGAGATACATGAACAGTGCTTGTCATGAACACACACATTGTCAAATAAAACTAAATGATTACAGTACCATGTGGGTGATGTACCGTGAGTTATAAGAGCAAGGCCATGTCAGATAGAACATTTAAGTCTCAGCGTCTGAATGATACCAGACATTACTTTTTCAACAGTCATCAGTTGATGTAACCAGCTGCAACAGGCTCTCACATGTCATTGGTTTGCCCAACCTAGGTAATGACTTGGTGCTTGAAGAATGGCAAGACCCTCAACAAGGTTTTGTTCTAAAAAGTCCCTTCCACTCAATGTCAGGTCATACTGTACTTAACCATTGTCGAGGGGAAATGGTCTCAAGCTTGGTTAGGGGGTAACAATCTCTCTCTGGTAATGCCTCTCTGGAAATCCCCTGCCCTCATTGTGAATATAGGCCTTTCCTTCCTTCAGCATTATTCACTTTGAAACATGGGGAAGCTTGACACAATTGCCATTATACAGTCAGCCCACACAATTCCGACATTACATCACTCCAAAGAGTCCCTGCATCCTCTACCATCTGGTTGCACAGTGTGACCTCTGACATCAGAGGTCAGTGCTATGAGTCTGATGTGGTCCTCTGGCTGGAATCTGTGACGGTGAGCAGGGGGGAGGCTCGATGTTCAGCTCCAGTCTCAGGTCCTGCAGACTCTGCTCCCAGCGTTGCTCGTAGAAGATGCTGAGGACACAGCGGGCCTGTCGGCCATTCCTCACAGCCCACGGTCCCAGGGACGTCACCAGGGGTTCCAGACGACTGTGGGAGAGTCACAAGGAAACAGTCAGGCAGAAATAGTCACATTTCTTTACAAATACCAGACTGATGCCAATAGTTATTGTATAACAGAGAAGGAAGCATTTACAGCTGATGTTAATACTCAGACAATACCCCTTTTAAATTCATGATGACACTTTCAGGAAGTATTTGATTTCCATATGCAATTTGATTTATATTTTAAAAACCTACAAAGCGATGTGTCATTTACGAGACTGAAAGTCCCACCTAATAGTCTCAGAAATCCCAGACCTAGACAACTCTCCCCCCAAAAATCACGAGTTTAGGTAGACAGGGCTTAAAATTAGGGCAGGGAATTGTGCTCATAAAAAATAATCCCCTTAGAAACATGACAGAAGCGTTGAGACAAAATTGGGGAGAAAAGGGGGCTAAAAAAAAATACAATAAAAAATAAATGATGTCCAGTGGGGATGTTTACACTAGGACAACAAGCGGATAAGTCAGTGACTAAAGAAAACCCAATTTCCTGCACGTCCATTTCCTCTGACTCTGGCTGAGACCAACTGACGCTGATCTTTGTGCAGACGTGTATGCTGGAATATTGTTAACATTGTGGGAAGCAACCCGTCTGCCTAGGGAGACTAACCTCATAATGGAATACATGACTTTCCTACTCTTGCTGAAAGGACTCGCATCTTCAGCCTGACTCACGTGACACAGTGTATTCCCTTAGCAATATGTTACATTGAGTGCACTGACTGAAATTAAGTGTGTCGTCACATAACTGACTGAAAGGAGAGTCTGACGGGGGCTGCACCTTGTGGACAGACGGAGTGGTCCCAACACTGCTCCCAGGATGCACATGGGCAGGCCAGTTTGGACGGCCTCAAACCACTTTACTGCCACCTCACCTGAGAGTGAGCGATTGAGATAAATTATTAAATGTAATATGCAACAAGAATAATACAATGAGCTCCAAAATGTATGACTGGCATTAAAGTGCAGACTGTCCGTTTTAATTTGAGGGTACCTTCATCCATATCGGGTGAACCGTTTAGAAATTACACCACTTTTTGTATACAGTCCACCCATTTTAGGAGACAAATTCACTTATGTGTATTAAAGTAGCCAAAAGGTTAGTCCTTGGTCCCATATTCCTAGCACGCAATGATTACATCAAGCTTGTTACTCTACAACCTTGATGGATGCATTTGCTGTTTGTTTTGGTTGTGTTTCAGATTATTATTTTGTACCCAATAGAAATGAATGGTAAATAATGTATTGTGTCATTTTGGAGTCACATTTATTGTAAATAAGAATCGAATATGTTTCTAAACACTTCTACATTAATGTGGATGCTACCATGATTACGGATAGTCCTGAATGAATCGTGAATAATGAGAAAGTTAGACGCACAAATATCATACCCCCAAGACATGCTAACCTCTCACCATTACAATAACAGGGGAGGTTAGCATTTTTTTTGGGGGGGGGGTGTATGATATTTGTGCGTCTAACTTTCTCACTCATTATTCATGATTCATTCAGGACTATCCGTAACCATGGTATCATCTTGGGTTGGGCAGTATCCATTTGTACCATCCCGGGATATACGGTATTACCAGCAGTGCACACAAAGGGCACAATGTTTTTTTCAAGCGTAAAACAAGCCCAAAAAACATCACTTATCAGAATGCTAACAAAATGCTAACAAGTACTATGGAATTATCATAGCGGATGCTAGGTAAATGCTAACGAGCGCATGTAAACATTTACTACTAGGACAGACAACCCAGCACATAAAGTTATGTAATTATCTCAAAACACAGCACGCACAAAACAAATATCTTAATCCAGGAGAGAACTGTCTCTGTTGCTGTTTCCAAGAAGCTTGACCTTGCAAGCCACTTAACTAACATTAGCAAGTTAGCAAAACCTAGCTGGAGAGAATATATTTTGCACATCTTAGATAGTGAACTTAATAGTTATGAGATATATAGTTGGCAAACATTAGTAGTGAATTTCATACAAGTGTTACTTGATCCCCTCACTTAAGTTGCGCTGCAGAGATGACTCACCTCAAGAAGCTACCATTTTGCTCATTGTGCTTATTTGTAAACAAACACATGTGACTGGCTCAAACTGCTGTTTTGGGAAACTAGTACTGGTAAGCTTCATAATGAAAAATCTTCATAATGAAAAAATATCTAATGGCGAAATGATGAACACGATCGGCTTTATCTATTACCTAGTGCACTAGTTGACTGCAGGTATTTATTTAAAAAGTACTAATATTCAAAGCCCAAGAAATGTGACTTACCAGAATGCTAACAAAATGCTAAAAGTACTAAGGGATCCTCATAGAGAATGCTAACTAAATGCTAACGAGCGCATTGCGAACATTTTGTAGTTTCTGACCTAAACTATACAAGTATAAAAGTAACAAATAAATTCTACTTACAGTTGCTGCATGCACAAAACAAATATTAGCCAGCAAGGCTCTTGATCTAGGAGGGGATTATCTGCTGTTACAGTACCAAGTGAATGATTGATTTTGGAAGAAGCTAACCACTTAGCTAGATAGCGAATTAGCTACTAAATTAGCAAACCAAATTCACAACTGCAGAGCATTTAGCAGATTTTAGACAGTTAACTTAATAGTTATAAGATACTGTATCTAGCTGGCAAACATTTAGTTGTGAATTCCATACTGTACTTAGATCACCTGACGCGTGCTGCACCAACAGTGAGTGACTCACAAGTCTCTGGTCTCTCATGTTGTGTGCTTGTATACAAACACCACGTGACACGTGACTGGCGACTACGACAAGCTACATAATAATGTGACAGGTGAAATGAAGAACGCAATGTTCTTTATCTCCTAAAGTATTACACAAGTTGACTGCAGGTGTTTACTTAAAAAGTATCTACAAATATTCAAATGTATAAAAAATGTAAAATAAATCATTTCAATGGCATTGATGGTATTGAAAAACCATCCTGTGGCTTTTTCCAAATACCCCGATATACAGTATACCGCCCAAGACTAGTAGCATCCACATTAATGTAGAAGTGTTTAGAAACATTATATTCTTATTTACAATAAAAGTGACTCCAAAATGACACAACACATTATTTACCATTAATTTCTATTGGCCACAAAATAATCTGAAACACAACCTAAACAAACAGCAAATGCATCCAGCAAGTTTGTAGAGTCACAAGCTTGATGTAATCGTTGTGTACTAAGAATATGGGACCAAATACTAAACCTTTGACTACTTAAATGTCTCCCAAGTCTTTTGGTCCCCTACAAAGCTCTCCCTCGCCCTCCATTTGGCAAATCTGACCATAACTCTATCCTCCTGATTCCTGCTTATAAACAATTAAATTAAAGCAGGAAGCACCAGTGACTTGATTAATAAGGAAGTGGTCAGATGACGCAGATGCTAAGCTACAGGACTGTTTTGCTAGCACAGACTGGAATATGTTCCGGGATTCTTCCGATAGCATTGAGGAGTACGCCACATCAGTCACTGGCTTCATCAATAAGTGCATCGATGACGTCGTCACCACAGTGACCGTACGTACATACCCCAACCAGCAGCCATGGATTACAGGCAACATCCGCACTGAGCTAAAGGGTAGAGCTGCCGCCTTCAAGGAGTGGGACTCTAACCCGGACGCTTATAAGAAATCCCGCTATGCCCTCCGACAAGCCATCAAACAGGCAAAGAGTCAATACAGGACTAAGATTTAATCGTACTACACCGGCTCTGACGCTCGTTGGATGTGGCAGGGCTTAAAAACGAATACAGACTACAAAGGGAAGCACAGCCGCGAGCTGCCCAGTGACACAAGCCTACCAGACGAGCTAAATCACTTCGATGCTCGCTTCGAGGCAAGCAACACTGAAGCATGCATGAGAGCATCAGCTGTTCCGGATGACTATGTGATCAAGCTCTCTATAGCCGATGTGAGTAAGACCTTTAAACAGGTCAACATTCACAAGGCCGCAGGGCCAGACGGATTACCAGGACGTGTACTCCGAGCATGCGCTGACCAACTGGCAAGTGTCTTCACTGACATTTTCAACATGTCCCTGACTGAGTCTGTAATATCAACATGTTTCAAGCAGAACACCATAGTCCCTGTGCCCAAGAACACTAAGATAACCTGCCTAAATGACTACCGACCTGTAGCACTCACGGCTGTAGCCGTGAAGTGCTTTGAAAGGCTGGTCATGGCTCACATCAACACCATTATCCCAGAAACCCTAGACCCACTCCAATTTGCATACCGCCCCAACAGATCCACAGATGATGCAATCTCTATTGCACTCCACACTGCCCTTTCCCACCTGGACAAGAGGAACACCTATGTGAGAATGCTATTCATTGACTAAAGCTCAGCGTTCCACATCATAGTGCCCTCAAAGCTCATCACTAAACACCTCCCTCTGTAACTGGATCCTGGACTTCCTGACGGGCCGCCCCCAGGTGGTAAGGTTAGGTAACAACACATCTGCCATGCTGATCCTCAAAACGGGGGCCCCTCAAGGGTGCGTGCTCAGTCCCCTCCTGTACTCCCTGTTCACCCATGACTGCATGGCCAGGCACGACTCCAACACCATCATTAAGTTTGCAGACGACACAACAGTGGTAGGCCTGATCACCGACAATGATGAGACAGCCTATAGGGAGGAGGTCAGAGACCTGGCCGTGTGGTGCCAGGATAACAACCTCTCCCTCAACGTGCTCAAAACAAAGGAGATGATTGTGGACTACAGAAAAAAAAGAGGACTGAGCACGCCCCCATTCTCATCGACGGGGCAGTAGTGGAACAGGTTGAGAGCGTCAAGTTCCTTGGTGTCCACATCACCAACAAACTATCATGGTCCAAACACACTAAGACAGTCGTGAAGAGGGCACGACAAAGCCTATTCCCCCTCAGGAGACTAAAAAGATTTGGCATGGGTCCTCAGATCCTCAAAAACTTCTACAGCTGCACAATTGAGAGCATCCTGACTGGTTGCATCACCGCCTGGTATGGAAACTGCTCAGCCTCCGACCGCAAGGCACTACAGAGGGTAGTGCTTACGGACCAGTACATCACTGGGGCCAAGCTTCCTGCCATCCAGGACCTCTATACCAGGCGGTGTCAGAGGAAGGCCCTAAAAATGATCAAAGACTCCAGCCACCCTAGTTATAGACTGTTCTCTCTGCTACCGCACGGCAAACGGTACTGGAGCGCCAAGTCTAGGTCCAAAAGGCTTCTTAACAGCTTCTACCCCCAAGCGATAAGACTCCTGAACAGCTAATCATGGCTACCCGGACTATTTGCATTGCCCCCCACCCCACCCCACCCCAACCCCCTCTTTTACACTGCTGCTACTGTGTTTATTATTTATGCATAGTCACTTAACTCTACCCACATGTACATATTACCTCAATTACCTCGACTAACCGGTGACCCCGCACATTGACTCTGTACCGGTACCCCCTGTATTTAATCTCCCTACTGTTATTTTATTTTACTGCTGCTCTTTAATTATTTGCTATTTATATTTTATTTTCTTAAAATGCATTGTTGGTTATGGGCTTGTAAGTAAGCATTTCACTGTAATGTCTACAGCTGTTGTATTAGGCGCATTTGGCAAATGGAGGGACTACAGTGCCTTCAGAAAGTATTCACACCCGCCTCCCGGGTGCGGAGCTGTCTAAGGCACTGCATTGCAGTGCTTGAGGCGTCACTACAGACCTGGGTTTGATCCCAGGCTGTGTCACAACCGGCCATGACCGGGAGTCCCGTAGGGCGATGCACAATTGGCCCGGGTTAGGGGAGGGTTTGGCCGGGGAGGCTTTACTTGGCTCATCACGCTCTAGCGACTCCTTGTGGCGGGCCGGGTGCCTGCAGGCTGACTTCAGTTGAAAGGTGTTTCCTCCGACACATTGGTGCGGCTGGCTGCCGGGTTAAGCGGGCGGGTGTTAAGAAGCGCAATTTTGGCAGGTCATGTTTCGGAGGACGCATGACTCAACCTTCGCCTCTCCCGAACCCGTTGGGAACTTGCAGCTATGAGACAAGATCGCAATTGGATATCACGAAATTGGGGAGAAAAAGGGGGTAAAAAAAAAAATACACTGCTCAAAAAAATAAAGGGAACACAATGTAACTCCAAGTCAATCACACTTCTGTGAAATCAAACTGTCCACTTAGGAAGCAACACTGATTGACAATAAATGTCACATGCTGTTATGCTAATGGAATAGACAACAGGTGGAAATTATAGGCAATTAGCAAGACACCCCCAATAAAGGACTGGTTTTGCAGGTGGTGATCACAGACCACTTCTCAGTTCCTATGCTTCCTGGCTGATGTTTTGGTCACTTTTGAATGCTGGCGGTGCTTTCACTCTAGTGGTAGAATGAGACGGAGTCTACAACCCACACAAGTGGCTCAGGTAGTGCAGCTCATCCAGGATGGCACATCAATGCGAGCTGTGGCAAGAAGGTTTGCTGTGTCTGTCAGCGTAGTGTCCAGAGCATGGAGGCGCTACCAGGAGACAGGCCAGTACATCAGGAGACGTGGAGGAGGCCGTAGGAGGGCAACAACCCAGCAGCAGGACTGCTACCTCCGCCTTTGTGCAAGGAGGAGCAGGAGGAGCACTGCCAGAGCCCTGCAAAATGACCTCCAGCAGGCCACAAATGTGCATGTGTCTGCTCAAACGGTCAGAAACAGACTCCATGAGGGTGGTATGAGGGCCCGACGTCCACAGGTGGGGGTTGTGCTTACAGCCCAACACCGTGCAGGACGTTTGGCATTTGCCAGAGAACACCAAGATTGGCAAATTCGCCACTGGCGCCCTGTGCTCTTCACAGATGAAAGCAGGTTCACACTGAGCACATGTGACAGACGTGACAGATTCTGGAGACGCCGTGGAGAACGTTCTGCTGCCTGCAACATCCTCCAGCATGACCGGTTTGGCGGTGGGTCAGTCATGGTGTGGGGTGGCATTTCTTTGGGGGCCGCACAGCCCTCCATGTGCTCGCCACAGGTAGCCTGACTGCCATTAGGTACTGAGATGAGATCCTCAGACCCCTTGTGAGACCATATGCTGGTGCGGTTGGCCCTGGGTTCCTCCTAATGCAAGACAATGTTAGACCTCATGTGGCTGGAGTGTGTCAGCAGTTCCTGCAAGAGGAAGGCATTGATGCTATGGACTGGCCCGCCCGTTCCCCAGACCTGAATCCAATTGAGCAATCTGGGACATCATGTCTCGCTCCATCCACCAACGCCATGCTGCACCACAGACTGTCCAGGAGTTGGCGGATGCTTTAGTCCAGGTCTGGGAGGAGATCCCTCAGGAGACCATCCGCCACCTCATCAGGAGCATGCCCAGGCGTTGTAGGGAGGTCATACAGGCACGTGGAGGCCACACACACTACTGAGCCTCATTTTGACTTGTTTTAAGGACATTACATCAAAGTTGGATCAGCCTGTAGTGTGGTTTTCCACTTTAATTTTGAGGGTGACTCCAAATCCAGACCTCCATGGGTTGATAAATTTGATTTCCATTGATAATTTTTGTGTGATTTTGTTGTCAGCACATTCAACTATGTAAAGAAAAAAGTATTTAATAAGATTATTTCATTCATTCAGATCTAGGATGTGTTATTTTAGTGTTCCCTTTATTTTTTTGAGCAGTGTATATATATTCACACACCTTTATTTTTTCCACAGTTTGTTGTGTTACAGCCTGAATTTAAAATTGATTAAATTGAGAAAAAAATGTGTCACTCGCTACACACAACACCCCATAATGTCAGTGGAATTATGTTTTCAAAATTGTTATAAATTAATAAAAAAAGAAAAGCTCAAATGTCTTGAGTCAATAAGTATTCAACCCCTTTGTTATGGCAAGCCTAAATAAGTACAGGAGTAAAAATTTGCTTAACAAGTCACTGGGTGCAATAATTTTTTATGACTACCTCATCTCTGTACCCCACACATATAATTATCTGTAAGGTCCCTCAGTCGAGCAGTGAATTTCAAACACAAATTCAACCACAAAGACCAGGGAGCTTTTCCAATGCCTCGCAAAGAAGTACACATATTGGTAGATGGGTAAAAGTAAAAAAAAGCAGAAATTGAATATCCCTTTGAGCATGGTGAAGTTATTAGTGACACTTTGATCAATACACCCTAGTGCATCAGTACACCCAGTCACTACAAAGATACAGGCGTCCTTCCAAACTCAGTTGCCAGACAGGAAGGAAAACACTCAGGGATTTCACCATGAGGCCAATGATGACTTAAAAACAGTTACATAGTTTAATGGCTGTGATAGGAGAAAACGGATGGATCAACAACATTGTAGTTACTCCAGAAAAAGAAGCCTGTACAGAATACAAATATTCCACAACATGCATCGTGTTTGTAACAAGGTACTAAAGTAAAACTGCAAACAATTTGGCAAAGAAATAAACTTTATGTCCTGAATACAAAGCGTTATGTTTGGGGCAAATCCAACAACACATCACTGAGTACCACTCTTCATATTTTCAAGCATGGTGGTGGCTGTATCATGTTATGGGTATGCTTGTTATTGGCAAGGAGTAGGCAGTTTTGTTAGGATAAAAATAAACTGAATAAAGCTGGGCACAGGCAAAATCCTAGAGGAAAACCTGATTGTCTGCTTTCCAACAGACACTAGGAGTCAAATTCACCTTTCAGCAGGACAATAACCTAAAACACAAAGCCAAATATACACTAGAGTTGCTTACCAAGACGATATTGAATGTTCCTGAGTGGCCTAGTTACAGTTTTTATTTAAATCTCCTACAAAATCTATGGCAAGATTTGAAAATGGCTGTCTAGCAATGATCAACAACCAACTTGACAGAGCTTAAAGAATGTTTTAAATAATAAAAAGAATGTGCAAATATTGTACAATCCAGGTGTGCAAAGCTCTGAGACTTACCAAGAAAGAGTCACAGTTGTAATCGCTGCCAAAGGGTATTCTAACATGTTTCGACTCAGGGTGTGAATAATAATGTAAATTAGATACAGTGGGGGAAAAAAAGTATTTAGTCAGCCACCAATTGTGCAAGTTCTCCCACTTAAAAAGATGAGAGAGGCCTGTAATTTTCATCATAGGTACACGTCAACTATGACAGACAAATTGAGATTTTTTTTTCCAGAAAATCACATTGTAGGATTTTTTATGAATTTATTTGCAAATTATGGTGGAAAATAAGTATTTGGTCACCTACAAACAAGCAAGATTTCTGGCTCTCACAGACCTGTAACTTCTTCTTTAAGAGGCTCCTCTGTCCTCCACTCGTTACCTGTATTAATGGCACCTGTTTGAACTTGTTATCAGTATAAAAGACACCTGTCCACAACCTCAAACAGTCACACTCCAAACTCCACTATGGCCAAGACCAAAGAGCTGTCAAAGGACACCAGAAACAAAATTGTAGACCTGCACCAGGCTGGGAAGATTGAATCAGCAATAGGTAAGCAGCTTGGTTTGAAGAAATCAACTGTGGGAGCAATTATTAGGAAATGGAAGACACACAAGACCACTGATAATCTCCCTCGATCTGGGGCTCCACGCAAGTCTCACCCCCTGGGGTCAAAATGATCACAAGAACGGTGAGCAAAAATCCCAGAACCACACGGGGGGACCTAGTGAATGACCTGCAGAGAGCTGGGACCAAAGTAACAAAGCCTACCATCAGTAACACACTACGCCGCCAGGGACTCAAATCCTGCAGTGCAAGATGTGTCCCCCTGCTTAAGCCAGTACATGTCCAGGCCCGTCTGAAGTTTGCTAGAGTGCATTTGGATGATCCAGAAGAGGATTGGGAGAATGTCATATGGTCAGATGAAACCAAAATAGAACTTTTTGGTAAAAACTCAACTTGTCGTGTTTGGAGGACAAAGAATGCTGAGTTGCATCCAAAGAACACCATACCTACTGTGAATCATGGGGGTGGAAACATCATGCTTTGGGGCTGTTTTTCTGCAAAGGGACCAGGACGACTGATCCGTGTAAAGGAAAGAATGAATGGAGCCATGTATCGTGAGATTTTGAGTGAAAACCTCCTTCCATCAGCAATGGCATTGAAGATGAAACGTGGCTGGGTCTTTCAGCATGACAATGATCCCAAACACATCGCCCGGGCAACGAAGGAGTGGCTTCGTAAGAAGCATTTCAAGGTCCTGGAGTGGCCTAGCCAGTCTCCAGATCTCAACCCCATAGAAAATCTTTGGAGGGAGTTGAAAGTCCGTGTTGCCCAGCGACAGCCCCAAAACATCACTGCTCTAGAGGAGATCTGCATGGAGGAATGGGCCAAAATACCAGCAACAGTGTGTGAAAACCTTGTGAAGACTTACAGAAAACGTTTGACCTGTGTCATTGCCAACAAAGGGTACATAACAAAGTATTGAGAAACTTTTGTTATTGAACAAATACTTATTTTCCACCATAATTTGTTAAAAAATTCATTATAAATCCTATAATGTGATTTTCTGGAAATTTTTTTCTCATTTTGTCTGTCGTAGTTGACGTGTACCTATGATGAAAATTACAGGCCTCTCTCATCTTTTTAAGTGGGAGAACTTGCACAATTGGTGGCTGACTAAATAATTTTTTTCCCCACTGTATGTGCCAAATAATTCTAAAAACATGTTTTCACTTTGTCATTATGGGGTATTGTGTGTAGATGGGTAAGAAAAAAATATATTTAATCAATTTTGAATTCAGGCTGTAACACAACAAAATGTGGAATAAGTCAAGAGGTATGAATACACTATGTACAAAAAAATTTGTATGTACAAAAAGTGCTATAATTTCTAAACGGTTCACCTGATATGGATGAAAATACCCTCAAATTAAAGCTGACTGTCTGCACTTTAATGTCGTAGTCATTGTATCTAGAGTAGTGCAGGAGTAGAGCAAAAACAAACCAAAAATGTTCACCATCCCAATACTTTTGGAGCTCACTGTATGTAATCGATGAATCCTACTTCTATGGTGGCAGACTCACCTAGCATGTTAGTGGGCATGCCTAGTAAGGTGTGCAGTAAATCGTGGACCTCTCTGTATCTCTGCATGACGTATGCCAACTCCTCATTATCTACAAACTTCACATTTGTCCTCGAGTCAGGGGTCACCCTCTGAGAAAGAGAGAGAGAGACGGGAGAGCGAAATGAGGATAAGCAAATACACTACAAAAACCACTACACTCCCTCTGCAAAGAGATCAATGACCTTCACAAACTCACATTGTCCTCAAGGAAACGCAAGTACTCTCTCCCTAAGGATCCATCTGGAAGGGAGGCCATCTTGGACAGATCCAATGTGGATAGCCTGATCCGTGGGCGCTCTCTAACACACCAATAGATGAAACATACACCAAAGAGCATTCATGGACAAACACATGTACCCACAGAACTTATCCCAATCGTAGAGATGTATATTTCAGGAATCAGGATGGACATAAAGACTGAGTAGGACAGACAGCAGAGGTTGTGCCATACGTTAGAATTGTATATCCCTCAGGGTCTCCTCTCATTCTGTCCCGGAGCGTAATCAGTGCAAGGTGTCCTGTAGTCTCGCCGAGAACGGCCACCATGTCTACATGGGGAACAGGGATCACAGTGAGAAAAATATGGTCATTTTTATTGAGAAAAATGCAGTGTAGTATGTTACACCAAAATAGTAAACTTAAGTTAATTTCAATAACTTGTTTTAATCAAACATTACATCTAGTTTCACTAAGACTGTTTCACACAGTTTCACAGTTTTTGTTCTTGTTTTTCCAGACTTGGTAACGAAGGATCTAAATGACACAGGAAAACCACAAAATAACCCCGCTTGGTATCGATTACTGAGTAATTAAACTTAATCAACTACTTTGAATTTCCAATGCAGACAGGAAAACGAAATCGGGAACACCCCACCCACACCAAACTCATTATGGATCAGTATTGTTGTCGTTCCATTAAATAAAGTGCCTTTTGAGTCCCTTTGATATTTTAAGTAGAAATTGTGCACCAATATTGAATTTAAAAGCCTGTTATATTCAATGAAGTGCCAATTAATATAGAACACATGGATAATTTAATCAATCCGATTTTTATATGAATAAAGAGTTGTTAAAGTTGTTTTGACATGTCCTGCCCTCTGTGACTTCCAGGAAGATTTTAAACAAAATTTTTATCCACTTAAGTTTTCACCATCATTGTAAAGCCCTAGTTATGTTGTTGCTTTGACAAAGTAAATTCTGATTATTATTATTTATTTAACATGATTAGTGATTCATTTTAAGGTAAAGAAAACAACCTGTCCCTTGTATTAAAGGTCAACCCTGTTACGAGAACTGAACTCTCGTTTGAATATGGTGACCCTATTCCTTTTTAAATAGTTTTTTCAAAAGAAACATTGAACATCTAATAGTCAAATCAGTGTAAAAGCAGGTGAGCTTGTTTTACTATTTTTGTCAATTTTCTGGTGTTTTGTGGTGGAAAACTGAGTGGGCCGAGCATAACACGTCAACCCTATTACCCATAGATAGGTGGTCTAAAAAGTTTTTAATTTGCATTCAATTGCCCCTCCCTGTTGTACACAACAAGCTTCCATTTCCCCTGTCACAAGGAGATTTATTGCTGATTTAAGAGTAACGGTCAACCCTGTTACTTTATTTGGTGGCACTTACTATAGTTATTTTATTTTTTTCCCTCTTGAGATGGGAAAACGTGTATTTTATTAAGTTGAACATGTGCTCTTTATCACAGAATATTAAAATGAGGTGAAATCAAAAGTTTTTTTTCACCAAAACATCTCAAAAGCACCGAATTGATGGAATGACCCAGAGCTCTGGGGTTAATATCAGAGCCATACAAACTGAGTACCATTTACATTTTGCCAAACTCTTGGTACTGTACATCTATGGCCATGGTTAATAAGGAGTTTGTCAGCACTAATACTCTTGATGATGTCTAAAAACTCCCTACATATGTAAATGCCCATGTAAACATATCACAACTGGAAGTGGGCATCCGTCTCACCATGTCTGTAGGGGTCCTGCAGGGCTGCCACCCCGGAGCCCACAGCCAGTAGTGCTTTCTGGATGATGTTGGTAGGGATGTGGCCTGGGTACAGTCTGTCATAGTGGCGGTCTGCAGAGTCTAGACCACTGTGCTGCTGCCGGACACACAGGGCTGTGGGGGAGTACAAACACCATCAGACATGATAATGCAGAACACCTGACTGGAGCAGTCATTCTTCCCATCCACAATGGTTCATCAATCATCACTGCTCAGATGGGGCCACGGGTAGTTTCCAGTGCTCTAGTTTACAGTCAAACAGTGATGAATTTTCCTTATTTACTGGCATCAAATTAGTAAATGAGGCCAGCATGGAAATTAGTGTGATGGGAATCTTGAACGCATTTTGAGTTTCACATTAACTGTATGTTTACAAAGCACACGACACAAAAAAACATTTTACAAACAGGACATTATTATCAGTGTTGGGAGTAGTGAACTATATGTAGTTCAACTAGTAATTTAACACAATTTTGCAGTAGTTTAGTGGTAGTTGAACTAATTCAAGTCTAGGTAGTGTTTTCAGTAGTTAATAACTTTTTTTACCGTGTAACTTACTACTACAAACTACTTTTTTTGCTAAAATAAAATATGGGTGAAGTAGGCAATCATTTCCTTTCTTTTTCAGCATAAATGTTAGTGGCGCAGTGGTCTAAGGCACTGCATCTCAGTGCTTAAAAGGCGTCACTACAGACTCCCTGGTTCGATTCCAGGCTGTATCACTACCGGCCGTGATTGGGAGTCCCATAGGGCGGTGCACAATTGGCCCAGCGTCGGCTGGTGTAGGCCGTCATTGTAAATAAGAATTTGTTCTTAACTGACTTGCCTAGTTAAATAAAGGTAAAATAAAAAAATAAGACCTGCCAAATTCTGACTTGAAACATAGGATAAATTATGACCCCAAAGTAATCTATTAGTAATCTACAATGAAACGTCTAGCATGGTTGCGTGTTATAATCTCATCAAGGACAACTTATATCGTACGAATTGCAATATCGTATGAATTGCAATCTCGTATCATATCGTACGAATTGCAATCTCGTATCATATCGTACGAATTGCAATTTCGTATCATATCATACGAATTGCAATTTTGTATCATATTGTACAAATTGTAATTCGTAACATATCATCCGAAATGGATGATGGACATCCACAAATTAATACATACCATACAAAAAACGTAATATATCATACTAAATGATGTGTCTCAGATTTACCTACAGAATAATAAAAATGCTCTGTGACCATGTTTTTTCACAAAGTAGTTTGGATGTAGTGAACTACTTTTTCAAAGTAACTTTAGTTAAGTAAACTATATTTTTCTTAAGGGTAGTTTTAGTGTAGCTGAACTTCTTCCAGTGTGAATTAACTGGTAGCTTGGTAAACTATTTTCAGGCTAGCTTCGCAAACATTATTATAGCATAGTAATGAGGGTCAGGATAAAGAGGAGTCTGTGACAATAGGAGTGACGTTTTTGGAAAAAGTGGACCCTTGCCTTTTGGCTGATCCATTTGTGGTTTCAGGGTGGGTGAAAACAGAGTTGGGTACTGTAGAATCGGGTAACCAGAAGTGGTCTAGTGATAATTGTTTGTGTTTCTGCTGGTCAGAGGGAGCAGACGCTCCGTGTTAAACGAATGGGGACAAGAAATGTAAATTGTTTTGCTCTTAAGAAAAGGGCACCATTGAAAGCCGTGATTACTGGGGTAGCGGTAAATGTGAAAGCTGACCAAGGGGAAGATTCCTGGTGTTTGTGATGCTCGTCGTTTGGTGCGACACAAACCTGGTGGCGTGAGTGGAGAAACAGAAGAGTCATTGTCTGTTCTTTTGAGTTTTGATGTTGAGTCTTTGCCCGACAAAGTGATGTTAGGATATAAGTTATCCGGTACGAGCTTTTGTGCCGAATACATTACGTTGTTACAGGTGTCAAGATTATGGCCATGTGGCAGCAGTGTGTATAGGAGGGAGGTGTGAGAAGTGTGCAGAAGGGCATGAGACAAAGGAATGTGTAGCATTGGGGAAAGTAGTGGTATGTGTTAATTGTAGGGGTGACCATGGGGCTGGGGATCCGAAATGTCCGGTGCGAGAGAGGCAGGTTGAGGTTTCCAGGGTTAGAGTAGTGCAGAAGTTGTCATATGCGGAGGCAGTGAAGAAAGTAGAGGAAGATGGGTCAAGGGGGAGGGATCCTGAGAGGAATGGTGTGAGTAGTAGATCTGTACCAGTACAGAGGGATAAACCAACAAGTGATATGTTTCAGTAAGATTGGATTTTTGGCATTTATAGAAATGGTTATCAACTGTACTGCAGGGATGGAATGTAAGTCGTAGAAAATAGAGGTTGTGGTGGCAGCTGCAGAGAGGTATTTGGTTGTGTGAGACATTACATCAGAAAAGTTTAAAGGGTTTGTTAGGTGGTGGTGTCCCATCCTTTCAGGCATGAAGTAGGAATAAATAGATTTCAATAGTGGAGTATGGTAGTTGTTATTATTATAGTTATGTTTTAAATATGTAAAAAAAAATTGTGAGTGTAGTACTAGATGGTAGGGTATTTGTTTTATTTTTTATAGCAAAGTATAAGGGATTTATACTCCAGTCTAGTTGTAGTCCCCCATTGCTCAGTTGGTAGAGCATGGCGCTTGCAACGCCAGGGTTGTGGGTTCGTTTCCCACGGGGGGCCAGTATGAAAATGTATACACTCACTAACTATAAGTCGCTCTGGATAAGAGCTAAATGACTAAACATGTAAAATGGTGGTAATGCATCATTTATTGGCTGCCAACCGCCGTTAAACCTCATCGAATAAGAAGTTAGGTGGGCGGGGTTTACACTTCACCCTTGTTTGCAGGGTGAGGTAAAACTAGTGCAGCATGGCCTCGTTTAGGTGGTGTTTTATATAAATATTGACAGGTTGAGACCTCGTAATAGGGTTTAGAAAAATAAATCAAAGCTGGACAACCACGATTACAGGCTAAATAAGGAATTTCAACGAGACAGCGGTGGGTTGTAGCTTAAGCTGGAGGACGTCAACACACAGAGAGCTAGCCAAACTAAAATGACCTTGGCAGACAATAAGATAGATTGTCCTCCTTCACCGACTCTTAAGCATACACACATACGGGCACAAGTCCACATGCATACCTTCGTAAACAAACAGGACCCGGCTGGCGTGTGCTCTTGAAGCGGAGAGTACGCGTAGAAGTGGCATTCTAGCGAGTATAGAGAAGACCAGAGCATGCGCAGTTCTGCAGAGTTGTTTATTTTCTTGCGTGACCTGTAACCTCTTGTGTGGTCACAAAATCCGTGACTTGTCCTTCAATTGACCTTTGCACATTGTAGTGCGTTGAGAAAGTAGTCACTACTCAATATAAATATACATCTCCGCAAACAGCTATAATTTGACATTTGTGTAGCTATCCATATAGCCTACCACCTCAGTTTCCAAACAAAACGCGTATGTTTTAAGCGAGAGAACGAGCTTGCTCACGATGGAAATAGTGAATGAAAAGCATAGACAAATGACGGGCGTGGGTCTGTCACGCGGACCAGTCACGTGGAGGTACAAAGCTACAGGAAAAGTACAGTACAAAAAGCTGTAGCACATTACGGCATAATTTGGTAAGTACAACAGTTCCTTCTTTTTTTTTGTAGGTTGGATTAATTATCATGATATTGGGGCTCGCTCACACCGAAAACCTTTTCAGGATGCAGTTAGTGCAATGCAGAGAAGAAAGTCAACGTTATGCCGTCAGTACATGTAAATAAGCCTACAGGACGACAGTTGAGCAAGATGTCCACTGGCAGGAAAATGTTTGGAAATGGAAGGATCTACTTTGAAAATTGTTTGTGGGGCATGAGTTTCAAGTTTGTGGAAGAAAATTATATTTTTTATTTGTATTTTATTTTTTATGACACATTAGTAGCCTACTCTGCTGACACTGACAAACAGATCAGTAAAAAAAATATATAGAATGCAACCATCTAATCTAGGCCTACGAAAAGGGGAGAAAAATGGTACAATATGATGTCTGTCTAGCCTGGAGGAGGAAATGATTGTCCCCAGAAAAACTTTATAAGTTCAGTTGGTATTAGATTTGTGGAAAATGTTCTTTCTACATTTTCATTATTGGCTGACATTGACATTTTGGCAGTAAAAAGTCATAGGCCAGCTTGCTCTCAATTATATTTTTAATTGTTGAGTACATTAGACTCTTATTTCTGTAAATATATGTAGCATGATCTGAATATATTCAACATAACTCACAAATAAAAACATGATCTGTGAATATTTCCTTGTCAAAGCCCTTTTAGTTTCTATTCACAGGCACAAGATCCATGATCAATAGCTGGGCTGTTAAGCATATCCTTTAACCTTTAGCCTTGTATGAAATGTGGTTGCAATCTGTTGTGCCTTATCCTTGCCTAGTCATGCACTTTTCATCACACAGTCACTCTTTGTACCAACATTCAGTTCCTAACAGCTGTGTCATAAGACACACCATGTGAATTAGGCCTTCAGTAGGAGCTAAAGATTTGATGTGTCTCATTCTTGCTTCAATTTAAAGCATCCCACACCCCTGTTTAGTCATTCTACAATAGCCTTTGGAAACCCACAAGGCACTCTACCCATCTGTCACTTGGTACCCAAAACATTCTGCTTTGTGACTTTGACTGTGTTATTGTGTCTAGTCAGGTATGATTCCCACACATTAGGTTCTGATCTTTGCTTACAGTCCAGTGTTATGGACTCGGCCATCTAAAGAAAGTGATAGAGATAGTTACTTAACTCATTTATTTCTCTCAAGCTTTTGCAAGTCTTGCATTTTGTAAAGGCCATGTGATTTACATGGCTGATTCAGTTGGCCAATTATTTGTTATGGAAATATTGTCTGGGATGGGTTATATGGATGCCACTTTTATGCCAGCATCAGAAAGGTTAATTATGTCCAATGATAATGCTGCAGTGTTTTGTATAGGCCAGAGAAGCTGGAGTCCTTTTAATTTCACATCCCCTTTCAAATCTCTTTTCTCTTTCTCTTGAAGTGACTTCACTTGACCATTTCAAAGTATTACAAGAATCCTCTCTCTCTGAGACTAAAGGGATTAAGCGTCAGTTCAATCTGTCCATACTGCAGGTCTGCCTGTCAAGCCAGCTGCCGCTATCCCATATTTCCTGTGAGTTATGTAGGTAACCTATGCTTGCAGTGGCCTGCGACATAGGTTATGGTTGATCAATTAGCTAATAATAGTGTTTGATGTTTGTTTACACAGGAAGCTGTATGAGACGTGATGGAGAGGCATGGCCCGCATATCCCTACCTTCTTTGGACTCCTCCCTTCCAGGGATACCCCAGAGTGTGCTGGCTGTTTCCATGGAAACTAAGTACCAATGCCAGCAGTGTCACCAGGTCCTGAGAAAGCCGGTCCAGGCTCAGTGTGGACATCGTTTCTGTGTCCATTGTTTCAAACTGCTCACCAGGTAGACTACTGGAGCTCTTTCCTCATCCCCACTACAGGCTCTGCAAACCCCCACCCTTCCTCAAGTTCCCCTTACTTTATTTAACCCTTTCTCACTGGGCATGCTGCTCCACCCCACCAAGTCCTGCTGTAGCTATAGCACTGCAGTGTCTCTCTGTGGTGGTGGTGTTGTTGTTGGTTCCTTGTCTCCCATCAGCATCTCGCCCTTCCACTTACCTCAGCCCCTGTCAGGATGAGTCGGCACGGGATGCTGTGTGTCGGTCTGTGGTGGGTGTATGTTAGGGTTGGGCGGTATCCAAATGTCCATCCCTCCATACCATGCCTGTGACATACCGGGATATATGGTATTACCGGTAGTGCACACAAGGCAACATTTTCTAATGTTAGTTAAGTGGCTAACGTTAGCTTGCAAGATCAAGCTTCTTGGTAACAGCAGCAGAGACAATCCCCTCCTGGATTAAGATAATATTTGTTTTGTGCATGCTGCGTTTTGAGATACTTGCATAACTTTATGTGCTGGGTTGTCTGTCCTAGTAGTAAATGTTTGCATACGCTCGTTAGCATTTACCTAGCATCTCTATGAGAATTCCTTAGTGCTTGTTAGCATTCTGGTAAGCAATGTTTTTGGGGCTTTTTGTACGCTTGAAAATGCAAGTTAGCAAAACCCTGCTGGAGAGAATATATTTGGCACATCTTAGATAGTGAACTTAATAGTTATAAGATATATAGCTGGCAAACATTAGTAGTGAATTTCATACAAGTGTAACTTGATCACCTTACCTAAGTTGCGCTGCAGAGATGACTCACCTCAAGAAGCTCCCATTTTTCTCATTGTGCTTCTTTGTAAACAAACACACGTGACTGGTTCAAACCGCTGTTTTGGGAAACTAGTACCGGTAAGCATCATAATGAAAAAGTTTCATAATTAAAAATTATGAAGCGTGTGCTGCACGACAGTGAGTGACTCACAAGGCTCCGGTCTCTCATCGTTGGGTGCTTGTAAAAAAAACACCAAATGACTGGGGACTACTGTAAGGTGAAATGAAGAACGCAATGTTCTTTATCTCCTAACGTTTTGCACAAGTAGCTACAAATATTCAAATGTATAAAAAAAAACTTCAAATAAATAGTTTCAACGGTATTGAAAACCATCTCATGGCTTTTTCCAAATACCCCATTATCCGGTATACCGCCCAAGCCTAGGGTGTGGTAGCCAGTCAGATTAGCACTAATGCAGGGCCAACTTCGACTGGAACTGTCTGGAATGGATCTTACCTCTGGTGGTGCAACACTGGACCAAGCTGCTCTTGCTGATTCCTACTAAAGATGTCTACTCACTGGGAGTTTAACTATGTCTCCACCTCACACTGCAGCTAATTCTATTTATTTGTGTTTTGTTAATTTCATTATAACACTAACTTTGGGCACATTTTTTTCTTCTGTGATTCCCCCTTCTTTTTAGCAATGATCTTAAAGTTTTGTCACACCTTTAGTCCTTTAAAGAGAAGTGGAATCATGGAAGTTTTTATACTTCACCTGCTGCTACAAATAATAGAGCAATGTTTTTGCCCCTTTTAATTTGCCCACTTGAATAACAATTGTGCAGTGGAATGGAAAGAAGATGGAGTGAAGCATTTCTTAGTTACAGGATGTCCTGATTATCATCTGATTATTATTGGTATGTTCAAGACTGGGCATGCATTTTTTACTTGCGAAGTGACATCATTGTCAGAGATCAGACTACGTAGAATCTACACAGGAAAGAACAACAATAAGTGAAAGTGTACGTGGAAGCCTGGAAGGTAATTGTAAATACTGGATGGGCGATTAGTTGTTTATAAGGAGAAACGGACATTCGAGTTACGAACCTTCACTGTCACAGTTAATTTAATATGATACATTTCACTACAATTCAGGTCAAATACATTGTACTTGAAGTGCTGATGTTGAAATTCAAGAGTCAGTCATTTAGTAATCTATCCCAGGAATTTACTTCAATTTGTAATCCTATTTCGGTTGAAACTCACTAGAAATTCCAGTTGCCACATGTCAGTTGCTAAGAATTGAATGTGGAGTGGTTTGAACATAGCTAGATGGTCGTGGTTGGTTATCTAAATGCGTACCGCAGAGTTAGTGGTTTCTAGTGGGTCTACAATCTTTTTTTGAGTTATGAACCCACACAGAAAACTCATAGGGGAACTATTTAGAGTGCACATGATCTCCATTCACAGCCCTCCTCCGTCTACTGGTGGTCTGACTCCTTCACACTAAATCCTCTCAATCTGTTTATTTGTTTGAATCTTTGTGTTGCCTTGCATACTGATGTGCATGTCCTTGTATGTCTTGTCCGTGCCCACTAATTATAGTATTCTTAATACCTATTATTACAATGTCTTGCTATGGATCTCGTTAGTCAAGTCTTGATATGACTTGCCCATTTGTGTTTATATGACAGCTTTGCACACTCTTGGCATTCTCTCAACCAGCTTCAACTGGAATGCTTTGCCAACAGTCTTGAAGGAGTTCCCACATACAGTGGGGAAAAAAAGTATTTAGTCAGCCACCAATTGTGCAAGTTCTCCCACTTAAAAAGATGAGAGAGGCCTGTAATTTTCATCATAGGTACACGTCAACTATGACAGACAAAATGAGGAAAAAAAATCCAGAAAATCACATTGTAGGATTTTTAATGAATTTATTTGCAAATTATGGTGGAAAATAAGTATTTGGTCAATAACAAAAGTTTCTCAATACTTTGTTATATACCCTTTGTTGGCAATGACACAGGTCAAACATTTTCTGTAAGTCTTCACAAGGTTTTCACACACACGGTTGTTTGGTATTTTGGCCCATTCCTCCATGCAGATCTCCTTTAGAGCAGTGATGTTTTGGGGCTGTCGCTGGGCAACACGGACTTTCAACTCCCTCCAAAGATTTTCTATGGGGTTGAGATCTGGAGACTGGCTAGGCCACTCCAGGACCTTGAAATGCTTCTTACGAAGCCACTCCTTCGTTGCCCGGGCGGTGTGTTTGGGAACATTGTCATGCTGAAAGACCCAGCCACGTTTCATCTTCAATGCCCTTGCTGATGGAAGGAGGTTTTCACTCAAAATCTCACGATACATGGCCCCATTCATTCTTTCCTTTACACGGATCAGTCGTCCTGGTCCCTTTGCAGAAAAACAGCCCCAAAGCATGATGTTTTCACCCCCATGCTTCACAGTAGGTATGGTGTTCTTTGGATGCAACTCAGCATTCTTTGTCCTCCAAACACAACGAGTTGAGTTTTTACCAAAAAGTTATATTTTGGTTTCATCTGACCATATGACATTCTTCCAATCCTCTTCTGGATGCACTCTAGCAAACTTCAGACGGGCCTGGTCATGTACTGGCTTAAGCAGGGGGACACATCTTGCACTGCAGGATTTCAGTCCCTGGCGGCGTAGTGTGTTACTGATGGTAGGCTTTGTTACTTTGGTCCCAGCTCTCTGCAGGTCATTCACTAGGTCCCCCCGTGTGGTTCTGGGATTTTTGCTCACCGTTCTTGTGATCATTTTGACCCCACGGGGTGAGATCTTGCGTGGAGCCCCAGATCGAGGGAGATTATCAGTGGTCTTGTATGTCTTCCATTTCCTAATAATTGCTCCCACAGTTGATTTCTTCAAACCAAGCTGCTTACCTATTGCAGATTCAGTCTTCCCAGCCTGGTGCAGGTCTACAATTTTGTTTCTGGTGTCCTTTGACAGCTCTTTGGTCTTGGCCATAGTGGAGTTTGGAGTGTGACTGTTTGAGGTTGTGGACAGGTGTCTTTTATACTGATAACAAGTTCAAACAGGTGCCATTAATACAGGTAACGAGTGGAGGACAGAGGAGCCTCTTAAAGAAGAAGTTACAGGTCTGTGAGAGACAGAAATCTTGCTTGTTTGTAGGTGACCAAATACTTATTTTCCACCATAATTTGCAAATAAATTCATAAAAAATCCTACAATGTGATTTTCTGGATTTCTTTTTCTCAATTTGTCTGTCATAGTTGACGTGTACCTATGATGAAAATTACAGGCCTCTGTCATATTTTTAAGTGGGAGAACTTGCACAATTGGTGGCTGACTAAATACTTTTTTTCCCCACTGTATGCTGAGCACTTGTTGGCTGCTTTTCCTTCACTCTGCGGTCCAACTCATCCCAAACCATCTCAATTGGTTTGAGGTCGGGTGATTGTGGAGGCCAGGTCATCTGATGCAGCACTCCATTACTCGCCGCCTTGGTAAAATAGCCCTTCCACAGCCTGGAGGTGTGTTGGGTCATTGTCCTGTTGAAAAACAAATGATAGTCCCACTAAGCGCAAAGCAGATGGGATGGCGTATCACTGCAGAATGCTGTGGTAGCCATGCTGGTTAAGTGTGCCTTGAATTCTAAATAAATCACAGACAGTGTCACCAGCAAAGCACCCCCACACCATCACACCACCTCCTCCATGCTTCACGGTGGGAACCACACATGCAGAGATTATCCGTTCACCTACTCTGCGTTTCACAAAGACACAGTGGTTGGAACCAAAAATCTCACATTTGGATTTCCACCGGTCTAATATCTATTGCTCGTGTTTCCTGGCCGAAGCAAGTCTCTTCTTCTTATTGGTGTCCTTTAGTAGTGGTTTCTTTGCAGAAAATCGACCATGAAGGCCTGATTCACACGGTCTCCTCTGAACAGATGATGTTGAGATGTGTCTGTTACTTGAACTCTGTGAAGCATTTATTTGGGCTGCAATCTAAGGTGCAGTTAACTCTAATGAACTTATCCTCTGCAACAGAGGTAACTCTGGGTCTTTCTTTCCTGTGGCGGTCATGAGAGCCAGTTTCATCATAGCACTTGATGGTTTTTGCGACTGCATTTTAAGAAACTTTTTAAAAGTTCTTGACATTTTCCGGATTGACTAACCTAATAACCAAATAGGGCTATCTTCTGTATACCACCCCTACCTTGTCACAACACAACTGATTGGCTCAAACCCATTAAGAAGGAAAGAAATTCCACAAATTAACTTTTAACAAGGCACACCTGTAAATTTAAATGCATTCCAGGTGACTACCTCCTGAAGCTGGTTGAGAGAATGCCAAAAGTGTGCAAAGCTGTCATCAAGGCAAAGGGTGGCTACTTTGAAGAATCTCAAATATAACATATTTTGATTTGTTTAACACCTTTTTTTTGGTTACTACATGATTCCATGTGTGTTATTTCATAGTTTTGATGTCTTCACTATTCTACAATGTAGAAAATAGTAAAAATTAAAAAAAAACTGGAGTGGGTGGGTACTTTTGACTGGTACTGTATGTTTGTCTTTATACTCCAAAGTGCTATATATGTTACATGATTCATCTTTCTAGTTTAACCCTGTGCTCTGTAGCTTACTGGTAATCATCGTAGATGCATTAAGAGCCCTCAAGCCGTCGGCCACTAAAATCATGTTGTACTGTAGAATCACATGACGTGTGTCTCCATCATCAGCTCCGGCCCAAAGCCCTGTGAAGCCTGTCGACAGGAGGAGATATATGAGGAGCCACAGTCCATTCTCAATAGTAATGAGGTAAGGCTCTGTTCCATTCATTTAACTTCTAACAACATCTCTGGTGAATCATGTTGCTCCTGGCAAAAAAAGGATATGGATTTAATTCACAATTTCGAAAGTATTTATTACAGTTCAATGTTTAAGGGAGAAAACTGAACTTGAGGGGAAAAAGTTAACCATGCAGTTCTTGTCACTGCCCTCAGGCTTTTCCAGACAATGCAGCTGGTAGAGAAATCGCCAGCCTGCCTGCCAAATGTATCAGTGAGGGATGCTCTTGGACTGGTTGCATAAAAGAATATGAGGTATAGTATGGAGTTAATGCTTATGTTTAACTGTGTTGTCATTGGGTGATTCAAATGAGAATATCCTGTGCATGTTTTGAATTTGAGTTGCCTGATTGGACGTCCCTCATGTCTCTCGTGTTGAGAGCCAATAGCAAAGCACACAGTTGCAATCTGACATGCTCCCCAGACTGCCCGCATTGCGTGCGCGAGCGTTGCAAAACAAATGTACATATACATGTTATTCAATCATTTTATCTGCATAGCCAGATAAAAGAACTTGGTTCTATTTTTTTTTTTAATCCAGCAAAAAAATAAGGACCATATGCATTTCAGGTTAAAAAAAACACATGTTTATCTCCCAGGACAAATTAGCTAGCAACAGCAAGCTAGCTAAATGTCCATGAATGTTTCATACAGTATGTGTTTCAACCTGTCCCTAAATTAATATAGTTGGTTTTAGTATTTTAACCTGAGTGTCATGAACGTGTCTGGCGGGGATAGACAAAATCAACATGCGGAGCCTGTTTGGTTGTCATGTGAGAGTGAAACAGGACCTGCCTTTGTTATATGACTTGGAAAGTCCCTGGAGTTTTATTATGAAACCTGTTGGGCAGAGAGTGGAAAGTACCCAAGGCCTGCAGGCTTAGATGTACATTCTGTTTACCATCTGTCTTGAGTAGTCTGAGAAATTCATCATCATCATAATAATAATACAGCTAAACTGCAAATTATTGTATTGTTGTTAGACTAATTTAACTGTAAATCCATTTGTCCGTTGATTGTAGAAACTGAAAACAGGAAGAGGGGGGAGTTTTATGAGAAAGGAAACCTAGGCCTACAGCCAAGAGTTATACTAACATTTACTGTTGTATAACAGAGAATGTTAGGGAGGGGGAAGTTTTAAAAGTTCATTGCTCTTTTATTTCTTCAGTTCGATGATTTGCATCTAGTCGTAGGTTATAACTATGTGTTTTGTGGGGGATGTTAAAAGACTGTCAACTGTCAACTATGGTAATTCAGTAAAAGGGGGCTTTTGGGTTAATTTGTTTCCTCAGAACTGTGGAAAGAAGTGTATTTATTTGCTGGAAGATATATGTATAGTAGAACAGGTTTCACAAGGGGAAAAAATAAGTGATACTGTCTAGGCTCCATTTCTAGGGCCGATTCAGCAGAATGTTTTTGTGTTCATGTAGATTGTGCAGTTGAATGTCATGCTGACAACCAACTTGATGATTAGTACAACCTGTGTCAGTGGCCTATTTAATGTTGTCGTTGTCTGTGGGAGATTGTGTGGTTGGAGTCAATAACACGTATTCAGTGGGCTATAAAAACCAACCTGTGTTTACTGTATGATTCACTGGGAAATGGAAAGATAAACACTGTTGCTAATCATACAGACATGGGCTGAACCGTTTCATGTTTCGTGAGTTTCCAAATTAGGAAAATACTTTAAACAAGTTATTGTTTTTAGTTATGGTTAGGGATGGCTTGGGGATATTTTAGAAAAGGGTTGGTAAGGGTATTTGGTAAGATTAGCTATAGAGTACAGCTAGCCATGCCAGTATGGTTAGCTGCAGTTAAAGGAGAAACATGCTCACTTACCTGCTCTGCTGCCTCTATCTTGAAACTTCACACTGAATGAGAAAATAAATGGTGTAGATGGCAACTCCCCCCTGTCCCCTCCCACCTGCTTTTTAAAAATTCAGCTATAGCAGGACTGACATTTACAGTAACGATTCACATGTACAGTTGAAGTCGGAAGTTTACATACACTTAGGTTGGAGTCATTAAAACTTGTTTTGCAACCACTCCACAAATTTCTTGTTAACAAATATATATTGAAGCAACATCTCAAGACATCAGTCAGGAAGTTAAAGCTTGGTCGCAAATGGGTCTTCCAAATGGACAATGACCCCAAGCATACTTCCAAAGTTGTGGCAAAATGGCTTAAGGACAACAAAGTCAAGGTATTGGAGTGGCCATCACAAAGCCCTGACCTCAATCCTATAGAAAATGTGTGGGCAGAACTGAAAAAGCGTGTGCGAGCAAGGAGGCCTACAAACCTGACTCAGTTACACCAGCTCTGTCAGGAGGAATGGGCCAAAATTCACTAAACTTATTGTGGGAAGCTTGTGGAAGGCTACCCGAAACGTTTGACCCAGGTTAAACAATTTAAAGGCAATGCTACCAAATACTAATTGAGTGTATGTAAACTTCTGACCCACTGGGAATGTGATGAAATAAATAAAAGCTGAAATAAATCATTCTCTCTACTATTATTCTGACATTTCACATTCTTAAAATAAAGTGGTGATCCTAACTGACCTAAAACAGGGAATTTTTACTAGGATTAAATGTCAGGAATTGTGAAAAACTGAGATTAAATGTATTTGGCCAAGGTGTATGTAAACTTCCGACTTCAACTGTAGATGGATTCATTTGTATTTGACTTTGTATTTTAACTTTTGTAGTTGTGAGGCACAATTAACTCAACCCTTGGCAGACACAGTGGTTGAAGAAGCAATGTTGAGTTCATGTTGCACAACTGCTTGCATCACCCCAATGTGCAATTTCATGCAACACCCACACAACCACAAAAGGCCTTACTCTCACAAACATACACAATGTTTCCCGTCTCAGCACAACACCTTTTTCTATACATTAGCAATATTTAAATAGAGCAGTGTTTCAAAAACCAATTTTGGCATCTACCGGAGTTCTCAGTGCTGTGTATAGTCACCACAGTCTTATCATACTTCCCGCTCCGTTGTGGGCGTTTTCAGTTAAACTAGATAGACTTCTTCTAACTGCCATAACTGGCTGCTTATTAACTCATATGCAACAGACTGGTTAACCATCAGCCCAACTGTCATTTTAATCTTGCAAGCTATGAACTTGAGAGAAAATTTTTTACTGAATATACAGGTTGTCCCTCTTAAGCCAAATAAATAGGAGTAGGCTATAAAACAGATTTGTTTTGTTTAACAAATTGATTTTAAAGGCTTACTAATTATTGAGAACAGGTTCCCGTGTAGCTCAGTTGGTAGAGCATGGCGCTTGTAGCACCAGGGTTGTGGGTTCGATTCCCACGAGGGACCAGTACTTAAAAAGTATTAAAATGTATGCACTCACTACTGTAAGTCACTCTGGATAAGAGCGTCTGCTATATGACGGAAGGACTGCCTGCTCCATGATCTCGCCATCACGGTTGGCAACTCTATTGTGTCCTCCTCCCAGAGTGCAAAGAACCTTGGTGTGACCCTGGACAACACCCTGTCGTTCTCCGCTAACATCAAAGCGGTGACCCGATCCTGCAGGTTCATGCTCTACAACATTCGCAGAGTACGACCCCACCTTACACAGAAAGAGGCACAGGTCCTAATCCAGGCACTTGTCATCTCCCGTCTGGATGACTGCAACTCGGTGTTGGCTGGGCTCCCTGCCTGTGCCATTAAACCCCTACAACTTATCCAGAACGCTGCAGCCCGTCTGGTGTTCAACCTTCCCAAGTTCTCTCATGTCACCCCGCTCCTCCGCACACTCCACTGGCTTCCAGTTGAGGCTCGCATCTACTACAAGACCATGGTGCTTGCCTACGGAGCTGTGAGGGGAACGGCACCTCCTTACCTTCAGGCTCTGATCAGACCCTACACCCAAACGAGGGCACTACGTTCATCCACCTCTGGCCTGCTATCCCACTACCTCTACGGAAGCACAGTTCCCGCTCAGCCCAGTCAAAGCTATTCGCTGCTCTGGCACCCCAATGGTGGAACAAGCTCCCCCACGAAGCCAGGACAGCGGAGACACTTGAAACCCTACCTCTTTAAGGAATACCTGGAATAGTATAAAAGTAATCCTTCTACCCACCCCCCCATTAAAAAAGAAATAGAAAACGCAACAGAAATATGTTTAACCATTTATTAAAGATGCACTATGCAGGAATCGCTCCGCCATTTTGTGGTTGCTAAAAATTGTATAGTTCGGCTAATTTCTGTTTGTGACAAAACAAGCAACTATAGTGTAGAGAATCATTGTACCATCTACAGTGGGGGAAAAAAGTATTTAGTCAGCCACCAATTGTGCAAGTTCTCCCACTTAAAAAGATGAGAGAGGCCTGTAATTTTCATCATAGGTACATGTCAACTATGACAGACAAAATGAGGAGAAAAAATTCCAGAAAATCACATTGTAGGATTTTTAATGAATTTATTTGCAAATTATGGTGGAAAATAAGTATTTGGTCAATAACAAAAGTTTCTCAATACTTTGTTATATACCCTTTCTTGGCAGTGACACAGGTCAAACGTTTTCTGTAAGTCTTCACAAGGTTTTCACACACTGTTGCTGGTATTTTGGCCCATTCCTCCATGCAGATCTCCTCTAGAGCAGTGATGTTTTGGGACTGTCGCTGGGCAACACAGACTTTCAACTCCCTCCAAAGATTTTCTATGGGGTTGAGATCTGGAGACTGGCTAGGCCACTCCAGGACCTTGAAATGCTTCTTACGAAGCCACTCCTTCGTTGCCCGGGCGGTGTGTTTGGGATCATTGTCATGCTGAAAGACCCAGCTACGTTTCATCTTCAATGCCCTTGCTGATGGAAGGAGGTTTTCACTCAAAATCTTACGATACATGGCCCCATTCATTCTTTCCTTTTACACGGATCAGTCGTCCTGGTCCCTTTGCAGAAAAACAGCCCCAAAGCATGATGTTTCCACCCCCATGCTTCACAGTAGGTATGGTGTTCTTTGGATGCAACTCAGCATTCTTTGTCCTCCAAACACGACGAGTTGAGTTTTTACCAAAAAGTTATATTTTGGTTTCATCTGACCATATGACATTCTCCCAATCCTCTTCTGGATCATCCAAATGCACTCTAGCAAACTTCAGACGGGCCTGGACATGTTCTGGCTTAAGCAGGGGGAAACGTCTGGCACTGCAGGATTTGAGTCCCTGGTGGCGTAATGTGTTACTGATGGTAGGCTTTGTTACTTTGGTCCCAGCTCTCTGCAGGTCATTCACTAG